TTCGCCATGAGCTCTCGCCAACCGTGACCGCTCGGGAGCGTCAATTTCGAGCCAGCGGGGCGAGATCCAGCCATCCATGGACAACCGACAGACCGGGTCACTACAGAAGTCGTGATGGCGATCCGTACCGCAGCGAGCGATACCGTTTCAAATCAAGCAAAGCATCCAAAAACTTAACGCCACAGCGTGAGGCGCTCAGCTTCACCTTGATGCCACAGCGTGAGGCGCTCAGCTCCACCTTGATGCCACAGCGTGAGGCGCTCAGCTTCACCTTGATGCCACAGCGTGAGGCGCTCAGCTTCACCTTGATGCCACAGCGTGAGGCGCTCAGCTTCACCTTGATGCCACAGCGTGAGGCGCTCAGCTTCACCGTGATGCCACAGCGTGAGGCGTTCAGCTTCACCTTGACAGAATCTGTGGGTGCCCTCCCACTGCCCGCTGTGTGTCTGTGGGGTGAGCTGACTGCACCACCTCGGAACCCCACCGATCCCGGCACTGAACGGAGCTAGGTGCGCAACTCAGGCGCGACCCAGCGGTGACAAGCAAGGTCGAGTCGCGTGATGAACTTGATCTTTGGTGCTGAATTGTTCCGTGCTTCCCGAATAATGCAAACAGAGTACGGTGTTACGTTTTTGAATTAAGTGGAATGTAGCCGGGACTTGCGCTAGAGTTTAAAAATGCGACGTAGGAGGACGATTGACTCCGTTCAGTAGCTTGCTCCATCAGTTCCTACCTGCTAACCCTTGCCAGTTTTGTTGGTTCCACGACATTCTGTGAGTGGTGGTGGTGGGAGTGGTCGGGAGGACGTGCTAATGCAGCCCATCACCCAGTTTGTTGGAGCAAAAATTCAAACGCGATGGTAACTATTTACGTGATCTACAACTAGGGCAATGTTTGTGTAAGTCCGTTTTTGAGTCTCAGCTACTCCAGCTTTTGATGAGCTGAACTTGCCTGACCGTTTTACTGCTTGGCATTACAGAATATTGGGACTCACTCTACGGGATTCGGACTGGAATCTCTGGAATGCCAGTCCGGCATCCTTACCATTACACCGCGGGGCCCAGTCAGTTTGCCGAATGCTTCACTGCTTGTGATGCACTCATTACTAATTGGTAAGCATGTTAAGGGTGTTTTTCCAGTTCGATTCTTTTCGAGCCTTGAGTGTCTGAATAAAAAGCGGTGTTACGCAAACGCAATATTTCCAGCTAGAACATTTCATCAACAAACTAGGGGAATATTCTTTCTACCACAGGGTTGAGCTGTCAGGTCCAGCCAAATGAAACCACGACTGTGAGGCAGTGAAATGACCGACCACGTTTTCTTGCCGTCTTGTCTTACCTGTTATGTCCGCACAGTACGAATTGTTGGAAGTCAAAGCATGCCACTGTTTATTTCCATCGTAAAAGTGTGACCTCGTGAAGTCACTGCCTGGGGTTCCATTGTTCTGAGCACGCATGACCTTGCGCTTACACATGTATTTACAATGGTGATATCTTTACGCCATGCCAGGTATGGTAGCATTCGTTTGTGTGCGTTGCAAGACTTCCCCTGACGTGACTTCTGCCTTGAATAACCCTTTCATCACCACTGAAACGGGCCAATCATTTCGGACCATGATATCATGGGGATGTGGGAAGATTTAGTACAAACTTTGGGATTTGACCTGACGTGACGCTGACCTTGGGTGCCATGCGCATAGGTCACGACCATGGACACGTGCATTGTATTACCACATCGCGCAAACAGCATTACTAGACGTAACTATCTGGCGCAAAAAACATGAGCGTGTGTCGCGGCGCAAGTGCTCCATATTGTATCAACCCTGGGTGACGATGACACAAAAGGGATTTTATCAGCTTCAAACTGGATCTAATTCAAAAAAGTTTGCACCACAAGATGGCCATCATGTTTACGAGAACCAAAACAAAGTACACGATTCGTTGCCAAGCGCATGGAGTTTCAATGTTGTTATTGGACGTGCCTTATTGTATGATGATCGTCCCATCAGCAGAGGATTTTGAGGCACTCCCGCACACGCATTACTCCTGTTTGTGGTTAGCCAATGTAATCGTGACATGTCCTCCTTTTAAAGCTTTTTTATTAGTTCAAAAGATAACCACTAAGAGATACCTAGCGCTGTAATTGCAACATTATATTCAATATGCTCAGAAGCGCAGTTTTGTACAAAATTCGGTGTTCAGGGATAATACGTTGATTTTGGAGGTTTAGCTTGATGAGATTGGCTTGAAGTAGCAACTACTGCCAACATTGTTTTTCTTTATCACATTCTGTCCACCCCTGTAGCTTTAAGTCACTGACAAAAACACTCGTTTCGTAAGAAAATCCTGCCATTATCCTGTGGGGATGCCAGTACAAGCGTGCCTCAGTGGACCGTACGTAAATGAAGCCGCGCAACGTCGCTTTCGGGTGCCTCGCGCGCGGGGCCGGGCGAAGTTTGAGTGTCCGTTTCCCAGGGTCTCGTCCCACGGACATGACGTCCCACGGCGCAAGGTCACGCCAGGAGGAAACACAAACACATGTTTTCGTGTCGCAGGTTAAAGAAAATGTGAAAATGCGTCGGTGGGCATATTGGAATGATTTTTGGAAGTTCCAACACTCGCCTAGGAAAAATTACGGCAAGCTGCGAGCATTAGTATATCTTGCTGTGTTAAGCACATCAATGGTCTGTTTTACCTTCAGCATGAATCGGACTGTTTTTCTTTGTTCACACATGAACTTGTCGCATGGCTGATGGTTATTTTCAACGGTGCTGGATAAGACACCCCAACCCCTTTGGGGTACACAAGAACAATTGTCGGCAAAGTCATCCAAGGTCAATCTTTGAAATTACTTGAAAGCAAACATTAACAGTTCTAGCTGGATGAAAGTAGCTGGTGCATTGTTTTTTTTTTCAGGGATGAGGAATAGCCAATAAACGCCACGAGAGGTCATGCGAGAGGAAGAAAGTTCCTCTACCCCTACCTAACCAACTGAAAAATGACGTTGTTAGCTAAACGACCATCTCGCCTCCGGCCCTTGAAGCGGCGCATAGGCCTATCGGGGGGACAAATTTCAGGGATTCACTTTTGCGATTTATATTTAGCACTGCCTCTGCGCATTACAGGGACCAACTCAAATCCAAAATATCCGTGAGGCGCCCGCGTCAGAAGAGATTTTCAACCTTTGAGGGAGTCTAGTGACTTTTTCGGACATATGATGTGATATAATTGCGTTTTCTTCGCTCGATCCGAATGCAGGACCTGTTGTATTATGTGATGTTGACACCTATCTGAACTCCATGGACTGGTAGATTATTACTTATGGGCCAACAGATGCGTGTAATCTGAACCGCATGGTGGAGTCACATGCTTCATGCCGGTGGACCTTGGCCTGAGGTAAGGCTATCCGTAATCAGGTAATATGGCAGTTGGGTAGGTCTTATCGATCAGATTTACCCATAAGAATTCCCCGAGAAGAAACCAAAGGTGGCCTTATCTCGGATGATGGATGTGGAGTAAAACAAGGAAAACATAGTTTTTTTATCCCATTTCTCTCGCAGACTTTAGCGCCAGCCGTTATCCTCCGCCAAGTTATAAGTGATACAGTATCTTGGCATGTGTTTGTACATTGAGGCCTGCTTTACCAGACTAAGATGAGTTACCTTGTTTGAGCATAAATCACCCTTATGATGCAATGTGTAAAACTAATCAAGGAACAGATGCACAACATCCCAGTGACCTGCGTCCAGTTTACTTAAGTGATTGCCGACAAATCCGAAGCTGTAATCACGGGTCATTAAAACCCTGCTCCAAACCTGCGGTGGTTAAATGAGTGGTAAAGGAAGCGGCATGTTTTCAGCACTACACAAAGCTCCAACACACCACATTCAGCGTCGTGGTCATGTGCTGTCATCCCTGTTTGTAAAACTTGTACTTTGTTTCGAATAGCATTATCAGAAAAAGCCACTGCAGCACTACGTTTTGTAGGAAGGCAAGTTTGATAAAAATCGGGTTTGATTAGCTCTAGTTATATAATTAAAACCTGACATTTCCAAAACCTGTTTCAAATTGGAATCCCAGCATTACGGAACGCGGTAGTCACTTTCGCGTCCCTTAACGGAGCAAAGTTCCGTCGATTGTAGCCAGGTGACTACCAAATTGCACCCAAGCTGCACTGTTTTGTGAGAGAAGTGGTGGCATGAAGTCACATTCGGCACTACCGACAACATCGATTTTCTCCGTGTGCGCGCCGCATGTTAAGTTCGTCGGACGAGCCGCGACCCCTCGAAGAAGCAACGTCCCTGACGATGAACTCTGTCTGGATATGGCGTGACCTGTGCCTAGTAATGGAGCCGGTAGCACTCAGGCTTCTGGGCAGCTTTATCACAGATCTAAGCGTCTGCAGGCAGATGCACATCCAAAAGCCCGCATTACCGATACCTCTTCTGTAAATGCCGCTCTGACATCACCGTGGCAGTTTCCCGGCTTTCAGGACCTGTGATTTGGATGGCGTTGCGCTATTTCGGCAGCCAGCACCGCTGTTGCTTCGAGTGCGGCATACATTTGAATATATTTTCCATGATATGAGCCGAGTATGAAAACTTGTCAGCTCTACCCCGCCGACGTGATGCATGTGCTCTCACTCCAACCTCACACCTCACCCCATCACTCCAATCTCACGCCTCACCTCACCTCTGATCCGGCTGGTGTCGATCACACGCGCGCTCGCCGACCTCGCGCCCCGCCCCGCCGCCGTCACAGCCCCGCGCCGTTGCAGGCACGCGTGGCGGCGCTGCCCGACGATGGCAGCGGGCGACAGCCGGCTGCTGCCGGCGCGGCTGCTGCTGGTGCTGCTGCTGGTGCTGGCCTGCTGCGGCCGGCCGGCCGGCAGCGCCAGCACGCCGCCCAGCCTGCTGGAGCACGCGTCCGTGGACGAGCTGCAGGCGCTGCTGGACGAGCTGGAGGCGGGCAACGCCAGCCGAGCGGGCCAGGCAGCCACCACCGGCGAGCGGCAGCAGCAGTGCATGGAGGGTGCCGGCGGCGACGCCCACCGCTGCGCCGTCACCTGGGACGAGGTGCTCTGCTGGCCCGAGACGCCGCGGGGCAGCCTCGCCTCCATCCCGTGTTTCAAGGAGTTCAACGGCATCATCTACCACGGCAAAAGTAAGCGCGGGCGGACGACTGTGTCAGGCTTAAGGGAAGAACCTCAGAGGTGTCACTGCTCCGAAACTGCTGGAGAGGATGTGCATGGTAGTTAGATCAGACGGGTTTGATTTGGTCGGATACATCAACTTTCTCGAAATCCGGAATAGCTCAGGCTCAGTTAGCCGCGTCGAGAAGAAAAGTGAAAACCCCATTAAACTCCCTGCCCATCATTATGAAAATAATATTTTTCCATTGCTTTGTCTTTCCCAACACGCACACACCGCGACACATGTACGCACGCATGCACGCAGACACGCACGCACGCCAGAGTCCTACATCCCAATGATATATATATATATATATATATATATATATATATATATATTGCGATGCACTAGTTGGCCAAAGTGTTTGAGCAACAAATGATGAGAGCCAAAAACCCTACGTTGTGTGACCTCGAGTCACCATAGTAATGGACGTGAGACATCGAGTCCGCCGGCTAGTAATGGACATGAGACATCGAGTCCGCCGGTTAATGGGCGTGGGATCTCGAACGGCATGTGCGTGCTTATTTATTTTGTCGTAAGAGCTTCTACAGACTGGTCGTCATTCCCCCCTCTCTTTTGTCATACACCATATAAGGTCGTCTATGAAGTCATCTATAAAGTCTCCTACAAAGTTCTATAAAGTCGTCCCCATTTTGAACACATGCACTGGGCTTCTATGGGCTACTCTCGCGATTGCTAGCATTAGCTGCTTTATATCGCCACCTGTCCTGCTTGTCAGTTGAGCGTCGGTCGAGGGCAGGCGTGCCTTCCCAGCATCAGCAGATAACACATTGAGTTCTTTTAAATCAGTAACGCTGCTAAAATCCTCAACGAGGCGGCAACAGGTGGCCATGTGGTCAGTCTGCGTTCTTTCTTGGGAATAAAGTTACATTTGACAAGAAACGAGATATAGTTTAGTTAAAAAAGATAGGCAATATTTCACATATTACTGGCCTATTAAATCAACCAGAAGTTGGTTTATAGATGCTTCGTTAATGATTAAGTTAAAGCATTTAATAAGCACTTACCAGCATTTGTTTCCGGCATGTTTGCTTGATCCCACCTTCCGCATTCCTTTTCGTGTCTTCTTCGTCTGTGGACATTTTAGACAAGCGGCTGCACAGCAGACTGGAGCGGGCATGGGAGGATATTCGCACAGTCGCCAACAAGTTTGTCGTGTTTGAGCTTCACTACTGTAGCATCAAAAGGACATACACGAGTTTAAAGACCTGCCATTGCTGCCGGGTGAACACGAGTTGGCCATCAATTGCAGCAAATTGGGGAAAAAGCACTTCTGCTTCAAGACGCTGTTTGATTCCTGGTAGACAGGCCCAGCATTTCTGTCTTGCGTGTTTTGTGGTGGGTATCCTTGTGAACAGTGAAACGTCAAATATCGTGATCCAAACTGCTGTGCCAATAAACAAGAAACCACGCTCACCTGCTCCGGCTCAAACGCATAGCGAACCGAACTCCCCCCCCCCCCTCCCCATTTGATGTCTGTCATGCGCAACGCGCGCTAATGGTAGCAGCGTTGCTAGCTGTTCTGGCTCTCCAGCGGCCATACGGTTATACAGTCTGCGCGCACACTTGTTGCTCATTAAGCTCAGCCACGCTCAGCCAACCCGACTGCTGTTGGGAGGCTCCGCCATGGCCGCTTTTTCGGAGGTCCATTATCGTTCCGGCCGGAAAGTACGTTCCACACGTACAGTTGTAGCAAAGCACATGCGACATTGCTAGTGATCGTTTTGTTTGACGCATGAGATTTGTGGGCATCAGTAGACGATGGCGCCATAGCGTCTCGGAGATCTCTTTGCACCCATGCGCGATCACATTAATGCGTGATTTCTAAGACGGAGTTTCATGAAAATACCCGGATTCTTTACCTCTTTCACTGAGGTGATGAGTCGAGCATCAACGCGGGTCTACACGGGAGGAGGTGGGGAGGGGGAGGGTTCTGATGGGCTGCCCTAGTCCAAAGAGCTAGACTATTGCCTGCGCATCGTATCTCGAATAGTTCTGCTTCATCCCGTCACGTGCGAACCGTTTGTACAGTGGTTCAAGATCTTCCTCCACAACTCCCACGAGTTAGCCAGTGGTTCAAGATCTTCCTCCACAACTCCCACGAGTTAGCCAAGACTCCGTGGGCCCTCTGTTACAAGTGCATGACAGCCATCCGAGTGCGGTGCGCACTCGGACTAAGCACATCCGAATACCTATGTGCGCACCGAGCACATCCCATACGGAGCAGTTGGAGCTCCCGCTCGTTGTCAGGCTGGCTGCCTTGGCACGCACGGATGCAGGTAGCCTATCGCGATCTTTCGGTCCGTGAAGTCAGAGGAGTGCTGTGGTGACCCAGTGCGAGACTGTGCCCTCAGGGTGGATGGGTGGCTGCACGAATGACAGGTACGATAATGGCATTGGTGCCGAACAGCGAGGTTTCTACCTTTGAAGCCAATGGTTGAGTAGGCACATCAGTGGTTAACTTGGTTACGGGGCGCTGGACATCGTGGTTATTGTCGCCATCGGGATGGTAAGGTGAAAGGAATAAATGCGTCGATGAAATTTGACAATGTAACAGCATTTGTCTAGCGCTAGAAGAAAAGATGCATATAGGCGTCGCATGCTAACTATCGCCATGGAAAAACCTTTCTTAATAAATGACAAAATGCGATGCCGCACCCGCAGACGTGCATGTAGCCTGGCACGTCTGGGTGGAGCTCGACCTTCGCCCTGAGTTATTTTAACCTCAAAGCTGGTGGATCAAGTCTAGGGATCTTTGTTTGAGGATCGGGTCGTAATGGTACATTGCATGAACCCTCAACGAGATCCGATAACCGCCGTTGCGCGCTGGCTACCGCCGGCTTTCGTTTTATGACGTCACATCCTGTTGGGAGCGAAGATATGCACATCGCTTCGTTCCTTTTCCTGATTTGCATGCAGCCCTGTCGGACTCCGGGTTCCCGTCATGTTGTCTTGTGTCGACAGCCCAAGCTGTAGCTTGACGTAGTGTATCAATCCAGTGCTATTTCAGTGCACGATCTCTTTTATGTAATCTTGCATGTTGATGTAATGTAATATCGATGTAAAGCGTGCATTTCCACTCTCTGTCAACATTGGTACACCAAGGAATGACGACCGGCAAACATAACTCGTAGATTTTAGCGATTTGTCATCTCCTGATTCCACCTCTGTGAATTTGTGTTGTAATTGCACGCACGTAAAACGCTTGTTTCGTCGAATGTAAGAAACATGTCTTAAATGCTGACCGAAATTGGTAGGGGGTCTTGGTTTAACCAATTATATTCTATAATAGCCACCTCATCGCTGAATCTTTGAAAAAATTACGTGGAAACGTGCAATGTGAAATGTAAATACAGATCAGTTGCTGACAACAAAAACAATGCAGGCGAGATCCCAGTTCTTGCTGACTTCTTTAACGTCACCCTAGATTGGACCTTCGTTTCTGGTGGGTCTCTTGGCAAAACGCCAGGTCGAATGTTGGTTGTTGCTGGATCTCCGACCATGTTCCTGGCTCGACCCTGGTTCTTGCTGGTTCGTGGGGCTCAGTGCCATGCCGGATTCGGCCTTTATGTAGTTTATGTATGTAGTTAGGTATAATGTAGTTCTGCATCCTGATTCTTACCGGACCTCTCTGTTTGATTCCTAACTAATGCCCGGGTTCTTCTTGGTTCCGGGACCAGAAGCCGGTTCTCAGGAATAATTTTTGGGAGCCGGGCACATGACTGTCAGTAGTCGGTTACTCCTCGACTCCAGTGACCTACAGTGGGATCGATACCATCAGAGATCGAGCCGGATCTAGTATCGCACATGTTTTGAAGTGAGTGTAGGGCTTTACAGAGATGGCTGGCATCGAAGGGAAGGGTTCGTTTGAAGTGGAAACGTTCATAAGCTCCGGCGGTCGACTGAATCCATCAATGAATGCTTGATCAACCGAGACCCACACCAAACCGCTAAATCAGCGCTGGAATAGGTACGGCAACTTGACTGGCTATGCATGAGCAGCCTGAAGTGGAGCGGTCGGCACACATCCCCTCCAGACGGTGTGCGCCAACTGCTGATTGGATGGGCTTCTTTTGAACGGGGCGAAGTTGTCGCAACAAACACTGCCTCTTGATTGCACCGCCCCTGACTTTTCGTGGCGGCAGGTGCTGCATTGGAAAATCTTTGGAGTTGTGTTGTTTGTGTTGATTGTGAGTGTTGGCAACTGGCTAATCCCTCGATGAAGTTGATCGAGGTCTTTGGGAAAACGAAGGCAGCAGCGGCGCATTGTGTTTTAACGTCCTGCGATTTATGTCTGCATGGGCAAGACACATCTTCTTGCTTGGAGGCCAAAGTGGAATGTTGAGTTACGTGTGGAAATGCTTGGCACCTTCTTCAAAAGCCACGCTCATTTTGAGTTCTTTTTATGTTGTGCATTGTTGTTTTAATCGAATCGAGTTTACCCAATCAAACGGTGCTGGAGGTCAAAAGAGAAGGAGTGTCAAGTTTGAGTCAACAACCTTAATAAAAATTTTCAATACTCAATCACTGCTTTTGACATTTTGATGTCAGCAATGTTAGAAGTTTCCGACCAACATGCCATAGCTAATTAACCATCGGCAATGCTGGGATTTTCCGATAACGCGTTAATAGCTGAAGCAAACAATTCAGCACCGAGGAGAATAGCTTGGCTACATCAAGATATTCTGTGGAAGCTCCTTACGCCAAATCCCACAGGGGCCGCTGCGACAACTATACTGTGGATCAGATAACGGTTGACAGCCTCAGATAGATCGGTCAGAAGCTAGCTCCCCTCCGCCAGATGGCTGCGGACGAAGATCAGGAGGCGGCTGTCATGCCCGGCCGGGCAGCTGTCTCGAGCACGCCTGTGAGCTCGCACCCAATACTGCGACGGCTCCCGGCCGGGCAGCTGCCGCGAGCACGCCGGTGAGCTCGCATCCAATACTGCGA